GTGCTTGGATGTGGTTAGTGAGGACCCTTGGCACAGTGTGCACACTCTTAGCTGCAAATGAAAGGGTCATTGCTTTTTACCCGCCGGTTGCTGTGTGGAAGAAAGAGGTGACACTCGGTTTGTGCAAGCTCTTAGCCTTCGACACCCCCTGGGGAAGCTCCGCTCTCTCCTACAGGCTCCCTGTGAGTTGGAATAGAATTGGTGGAAATAGGTATGGGGGTTGGGGTTTTCATTTGTGGCTTGCATTGCATTTCTAATGGTCCATACCGGTCCAAATGAAAGGTCTGGGCTAGCAAAGGTAGCGTTTAGCAATCAAATACAAGACAATCAATATTGTCTGATGATACCATGACTGTATGGAGAAATCTGGCCACAGGGTGATGGATGCAGGGTAGAAGTTACTGTTCCCCATCCCTCCCATACTGGGACATTCCCACACCCCACCATGTTTGCTTAGTAACATTCTGGAGAGAATGTTTTAGGAAAGGAATTGGACTCTGGAAGAAACAGAAAAATAACTGCCTACCCTAAACTCTCTGGAGGCCATCAATGTTGCTAAAAGTCCATTACAGGGAAGACAGGGGTAGCCTCTGACTCTTCGAATGCCCTTTTATATTCTTAGCAGGGTGTCAGAGAACTCTACTCTTTCAGGGTGATGGCATTTGAATGAGAAAGACAGGCATCAGGAAGGGGCGTTGCAATGGAGCATCAGCTCTGCAGGTGTGTTGTTGAGAAGCCCCCAAAGGTATCCAGACCAGGATGAGGGATGTTCATTAAAATAAGCCTTCAGCTGGTTGGAGAGTCCCTTGGATCTCTTCTGCCATTCTCACAACCCCTACCCATGTCCCAGTGAAAGAGAGACTGGGTGTTTCAGCGGAAAGACAGTATACTGTAAGGGCCACACCAGGCCAGGAGCCTCCTTAGGCCTCGCTAAAATAAATGGTGTTTCAGGCTCAATCCCCATTACATGGACAGCTGCCCCTCCCCCCAGAAGAAGTTACTGCAGAGGACAGCACTGAAGTTACAGTTCAGGGAGAGGGACATGTCTGATCAGAGCACACAGGAGCAAATGAAGGGGGAGGAAGAGAGAGTGGAGCACATCCTGGCCCACCAAGCCTTGAGGACAATATCCCTGCTCAGAGCAGCCAATGCACAGAGAGGACCATATGGCCAGCCCCACTAAGAGACATGATATCCCTCACTGACACATATCTTACAGGGGACAACACTGGAGACACAGTGTGGGAATTGTGCCCAATCTGACCCAACCACACCAAGGCAAAACACTAAGGGCATGCAACAAAACAGCAAGGGGAACAGAGCAATGAAGTCCCCAGGGAATACCAAAAATAGACTTTGGGGCCAGGGCATGGCACCCCATCATACTGGACTGGAAAATACTCCTAAAGGTCAACAAACAGACCTTTAACTATTTACAGGCTTTTTCTCTTTTTTCGTTATTG